TAGAGATGACTGTGTTTGGGTTGGTGTGGAAAGGTTTGTGGTTTGGTTGGTGTGGAGAGTTTGTGTTTTGGTTGGTGTGGAGAGGGTTGTGTTTTGGTTGGTGTAGAGAGGTTTGTGTTTTATTGGTGTGGAGAGGGTTGTGTTTGGGTTAATGTAGAGAGGTTTGTGTTTTGGTTGGTGTGGAGAGGTTTGTGTTTTGGTTGGTGTGGAGAGGTTTGTGATTTGGTTGGTGTGGAGAGATTTGTGTTTTGTTGGTGTGGAGAGGGTTATGTTTGTTTGGTGTAGAGAGGGTTGTGTTTGGGTTAATGTAGAGAGGTTTGTGTTTTTGGTTGGTGTGGAGAGGTTTGTGTTTTGGTTGGTGTGGAGAGGTTTGTGTTTTGGTTGGTGTGGAGAGGTTTGTGTTTTATTGGTGTGGAGAGGGTTGTGTTTTGGTTGGTGTGGAGAGGGTTGTGTTTTGGCTGGTGTGGAGAGGATTGTGTTTTGGTTGGTGTGGAGAGGTTTGTGTTTTGGTTGGTGTGGAGAGGTTTGTGTTTTATTGGTGTGGAGAGGGTTGTGTTTGGGATAATGTAGAGAGGTTTGTGTTTTATTGGTGTGGAGAGGGTTGTGTTTGGGTTAATGTAGAGAGGTTTGTGTTTTGGTTGGTGTGGAGATGGTTGTGTTTTGGCTGGTGTGGAGAGGGTTGTGTTTTGGTTGGTGTGGAGAGGTTTGTGTTTTGGTTGGTGTAGAGAGGTTTGTGTTTTATTGGTGTGGAGAGGTTTGTGTTTTGGTTGGTGTGGAGAGGGTTGTGTTTTGGTTGGTGTGGAGAGGGTTGTGTTTTGGTTGGTGTGGAGAGGTTTGTGTTTTGGTTGGTGTAGAGAGGTTTGTGTTTTATTGGTGTGGAGAGGGTTGTGTTTGGGTTAATGTAGAGAGGGTTGTGTTTTTGTTGGTGTGGAGAGGTTTGTGTTTGGTTGGTGTGGAGAGGATTGTGTTTTGGTTGGTGTGGAGAGGGTTGTGTTTCGGTTGGTGTGGAGAGGTTTGTGTTTGGGTTGATGTGGAGAGGGTTGTGTTTTGGTTGGTGTGGAGAGGTTTGTGTTTTTGGTTGGTGTGGAGAGGTTTGTGTTTGGTTGATGTGGAGAGGATTGTGTTTTTGTTGGTGTGGAGAGGGTTGTGTTTTGGTTGGTGTGGAGAGGTTTGTGTTTTAGTTGTTGTAGAAAAGTCCATGTTTTGGTCAGTTTAGAGAGGTTTGTGTTTGGGTTGGTGTGGAGAGGTTTGTGGTTTGGTTGGTGTGGAGAGTTTGTGTTTTGGTTGGTGTGGAGAGGGTTGTGTTTTGGTTGGTGTAGAGAGGTTTGTGTTTTATTGGTGTGGAGAGGGTTGTGTTTGGGTTAATGTAGAGAGGTTTGTGTTTTGGTTGGTGTGGAGAGGTTTGTGATTTGGTTGGTGTGGAGAGATTTGTGTTTTGGTTGGTGTGGAGAGGGTTGTGTTTTGGTTGGTGTGGAGAGGGTTGTGTTTGGGTTAATGTAGAGAGGTTTGTGTTTTGGTTGGTGTGGAGAGGGTTATGTTTTGGTTGGTGTGGAGAGGTTTGTGTTTTGGTTGGTGTGGAGAGGGTTGTGTTTTGGCTGGTGTGGAGAGGGTTGTGTTTTGGTTGGTGTGGAGAGGTTTGTGTTTTGGTTGGTGTGGAGAGGTTTGTGTTTTATTGGTGTGGAGAGGGTTGTGTTTGGGTTAATGTAGAGAGGTTTGTGTTTTGGTTGGTGTGGAGATGGTTGTGTTTTGGCTGGTGTGGAGAGGGTTGTGTTTTGGCTGGTGTGGAGAGGTTTGTGTTTTGGTTGGTGTAGAGAGGTTTGTGTTTTATTGGTGTGGAGAGGTTTGTGTTTTGGTTGGTGTGGAGAGGTTTGTGTTTTATTGGTGTGGAGAGGGTTGTGTTTGGGTTAATGTAGACAGGTTTGTGTTTTGGTTGGTGTGGAGATGGTTGTGTTTTGGTTGGTGTGGAGAGGTTTGTGTTTTTGGTTGGTGTGGAGAGGTTTGTGTTTTTGGTTGGTGTGGAGAGGGTTGTGTTTTGGTTGGTGTGGAGAGGGTTGTGTTTTGGTTGGTGTGGAGATGGTTGTGTTTTGGTTGGTGTGGAGAGATTTGTGTTTTATTGGTGTGGAGAGAGTTGTGTTTTGGTTGGTGTGGAGAGAGTTGTGTTTTGGTTGGTGTGGAGATGGTTGTGTTTTGGTTGGTGTGGAGAGGTTTGTGTTTTTGGTTGGTGTGGAGAGGTTTGTGTTTTTGGTTGGTGTGGAGAGGGTTGTGTTTTGGTTGGTGTGGAGAGGGTTGTGTTTTGGTTGGTGTGGAGAGGTTTGTGTTTTTGGTTGGTGTGGAGAGGGTTGTGTTTTGGTTGGTGTGGAGAGGGTTGTGTTTTGGTTGGTGTGGAGAGGTTTGTGTTTGGTTGGTGTGGAGAGGATTGTGTTTTGGTTGGTGTGGAGAGGATTGTGTTTTGGTTGGTGTGGAGAGGGTTGTGTTTTATTGGTGTGGAGAGAGTTGTGTTTTGGTTGGTGTGGAGAGAGTTGTGTTTTGGTTGGTGTGGAGAGGTTTGTGTTTTTGTTGGTGTGGAGAGGATTGTGTTTTGGTTGGTGTGGAGAGGTTTGTGTTTTGGTTGATGTGGAGAGGGTTGTGTTTTGGTTGGTGTGGAGAGGTTTTTGTTTTTGGTTGGTGTAGAGAGGTTTGTGTTTTATTGGTGTGGAGAGGTTTGTGTTTTTGGTTGGTGTGGAGAGGTTTTGTGTTTGGTTGATGTGGAGAGGATTGTGTTTTTGTTGGTGTGGAGAGGTTTGTGATTTGGTTGGTGTGGAGAGGTTTGTGTTTTTGGTTGGTGTGGAGAGGGTTGTGTTTTGGTTGGTGTGGAGAGGTTTGTGTTTTAGTTGTTGTAGAAAAGTCCATGTTTTGGTCAGTTTAGAGAGGGTTGTGTTTTGGCTGGTGTGGAGAGGTTTGTGTTTTGGTTGGTGTAGAGAGGTTTGTGTTTTATTGGTGTGGAGAGGTTTGTGTTTTGGTTGGTGTGGAGAGGGTTGTGTTTTGGTTGGTGTGGAGAGGTTTGTGTTTTATTGGTGTGGAGAGGGTTGTGTTTTATTGGTGTGGAGAGGGTTGTGTTTGGGTTAATGTAGACAGGTTTGTGTTTTGGTTGGTGTGGAGATGGTTGTGTTTTGGTTGGTGTGGAGAGGTTTGTGTTTTTGGTTGGTGTGGAGAGGTTTGTGTTTTTGGTTGGTGTGGAGAGGGTTGTGTTTTGGTTGGTGTGGAGAGGGTTGTGTTTTGGTTGGTGTGGAGATGGTTGTGTTTTGGTTGGTGTGGAGAGATTTGTGTTTTATTGGTGTGGAGAGAGTTGTGTTTTGGTTGGTGTGGAGAGAGTTGTGTTTTGGTTGGTGTGGAGATGGTTGTGTTTTGGTTGGTGTGGAGAGGTTTGTGTTTTTGGTTGGTGTGGAGAGGTTTGTGTTTTTGGTTGGTGTGGAGAGGTTTGTGTTTTTGGTTGGTGTGGAGAGGGTTGTGTTTTGGTTGGTGTGGAGAGGTTTGTGTTTTAGTTGTTGTAGAAAAGTCCATGTTTTGGTCAGTTTAGAGAGGTTTGTGTTTGGTTGTTGTGGAGAGGATTGTGTTTTTGTTGGTGTGGAGAGGTTTGTGTTTTTGTTGGTGTAGAGAGGTCTGTGTTTGGGTTGGTGTAGAGAGGTCTGTGTTTTGATTGGTGTAGAGAGGTTTGTGTTTGGGTTGGTGTAGAGAGGTCTGTGTTTTGATTGGTTTAGAGAGGTTTGTGTTTTGATTGGTTTAGAGAGGTTTGTGTTTGGGTTGGTGTAGAGAGGTCTGTGTTTTGATTGGTTTAGAGAGGTTTGTGTTTGGGTTGGTGTAGAGAGGTCTGTGTTTTGTCGTATTCCATTGTTTATTAAAGATATATAAAATAATATTTCTATTTAGAACAAAGAATAACTGTGCCAACTGGATTATAATTTCATTAAAATGCCTGTTGCATGCATCGGGATATTGTTTGATGTGGTGTTTACATAGCTCACAATTATACCAACAAACAAAGTTTGTAGGTTCATGAATTTTAATATATGACAGCAAAATCTGTCATTTCAAAAATTTAACAATGCATAATGTAATTATGTTGATAGTATTCATATTAAGTATAATATATTTTACATTCTGCCCCAAAATGCAACAAAAGCTAACACATTCCAACATTTCATTGTTATTTAGAGATATTCATGGTGTAATATTTTTTGTATGTTATAGGCAGTAATTAATGTTTTGGTTAATTTGTACTATATATTGGTGTGTTTGGTTGGTTTATTTTTTCTCTGTAACAATTAAGATGTATTCTAATTTTTATGATTTTTTTTTTTTTCTGAAATTTGAAAATTATCCATCCAGGACATCTAAGAAATACTGATAAACTTTCATAGTCAAAATACAAGATGTCAACCTGTCAGCCATTTTGTTTTTCTGATCTGTCCAAAAGTCAAAAGGGCACATTTAGGGACCAGAGGGAACCTACAGATGAAATTTAAATGAGATCCATTTGGAACTTATCAAGAAATAGCAAAAGAAACATTTCCATGTCAAAATCCAAGATGGCTGACAGTTCGCCATTTTATTTTTCTAATATTACAGTTTCTGAATGTTATCTACATAACAATCATAATGGATGTGCCAATTCTTTATTGTGCTAAGTTACAAACAAGAGATCCCAGAGAGATCTTGGCACCTGCCATTGTTTGATCTTTACCTGTTTTTAAAAGTAGGATCTTTTCCCTTTTTCTTCTCTTAATTATTCGGAATTTGAACATTCCTGTGAAGAAATCGCCATAACAACCTTTAATTGTCAAAATCAAAGATGAATGCCTACCAGCCATTTTGTTTTTCTTATCATTCCAAAGATGAAAAAGGCAAAACTAGTGACCAATGGGCCTATACATGAAATTTGAGAAAGATGGACAATGGACTGGGAATATAGGGTGATCTGAACAATGTAGAACTAATTATAAACAAAGTAAGAAAAAGTGTGACAGAATACAATATTTATTAGATTTTTTATATTTTCATCACATAAAACATTGTATCTATGACAACAGGTTAATGAAAGCAGTTGTAGATGATCCTAGCCATTAAGTACAATATAATAGCAATATTTGATCTTCTTCATTAAGTACATTATCAAAATAATAAACCAAATATTCTGTCAAAGCATATCTTTTTGTGGGGCTCAAACTTCATGGTTTTGTTTAAAACTGGACACTTGACTTTGTGGATAAATATCCAGTACTATAGATAAAATAGACTGATATTAAGAATTCAAATCAATTTACATCCATATTAAACAACATATTTAAGGGTGTCCTCGAAAACAATGAAAATGACCCCCACAAAAATTGATGACACTACAGTATTTATGCCACATAACACAAAAGCTATAATTAGGATCTTTGGTCAACATGCACATCGTGTCATATCTATGTAATATATTATCTTGTTTATTTTGTCACATACATGTAATATATTAGTTATTGTCATAATTGTTTATTCTAGTAAATATATCTACACTATCTCTATAAAATATATATGATCTTACATGAGTTTTCATTTCATTTGAAATTTAGGAAATGAGTCCCAAGATTTTTTCTGTTTGATAAGAAGCCTCTGATGATGATGTACACTGTAATATTAAGTGGTTCAAATAATTCTAACTTTAAGCAGTAAACAGAACAAAAGCAGCAATACTTTCTTCGTTTCAGTTTTTTCAACATTCCCTCCTTCATGTTATTTCAGCTTAGTGGCACCAATGGGAAAGTTTATTTTTCAAGATGGCAGCCATGGTGGTCATATTGGATTTTGGACCCGACCAAAACAGAACAAGAGGCCTAGCGGCCTTGACACCTGAGATAAGCAATATTGAAAATAAAGGTTAAAGGATAGTTATCAGGTGTCATGAAACAGTAAATGTGACACTGAATAGAGTAAGCCAGTGTCAATACATGCATACCATCAAAACTGTCATCCCATACTGATAATTCTTATTAAGTTATTTCAAGTGGAGAAACGTTATGCTCAAAAATCTATTTTTCTATGAAAATTATTATGAAGTCTAAAAAAAAAAAAATCCTCCACAGGAAGAAATGAGAGACTCACTTTGGTAAATAAAACACCTTAAGATGCTTCCATTCCTGAAGAGCATTTGATTATACCATCTGAGCGTTGAGAAGAAGATTTTTGAAATTTAAGTCAATTTGACACTTTTGGCCCGGCCCATCAGACCCTTGTGGTCAGTCAGGATCAAAATGGGCATACTATCAGGCTGTCACCCTTCATTAATATTTCTAACCAAGTTTGAAATATTTCCAATGGAAATTAAACAAATCATGCTCAAAAATCTAGTTTTCCTATATAAACTATAGTAAACTTTACCCCCTGCCCACGGGGAAATGTGAGACCCTTCACCCTCAGGCCCCTGGGGGCGGGGACTGTATAATTCACAATTTTGGTTCATCTTAGGCCAGGAAAGGTTTCTGCAAAATTTCATTGAAATTGGATCTGGGGTTTGTTGAGAAGAAGTCGAATGTGTTAAAATGTTTACGGACGCATGACGCACAATGTTGGATGAAGGGTATTAGAATAGGTCACCTTGAGACTGTCTCAGGTGACCAAACAATTTAAGAAGCATAAAATAGGTGTTATAAAGGAAAACTATGGCTGTACAATCATGTTACAAAATAGCTGTCATGTCTTAAGTTTTGATGAGGCTGAAAACCACAGACACTTTGTTGGCTTACTTGTCCTAAATATCTCCTCAATTTTCAGCTCAATTGCACCACTTGAATTAGAGAAGAAATTTTTTCTTTCTAAATGGTGGCCTTATCAATTTTCAAGGGATTTGAAAAATAACATTTAGTCAGGTTTTTTATCTCACATGAAGAACTTTTGAATTTGAAAAGTTTATGCACAGCAGACAATATACAAAACACGATCATGTGACAAATTTCATAAATCACATCTGAAATGGAAACAAATTTAAGACATCCTTTCTTTTATCACAAGATCAGTTATTTTGGCAAATATTGCAGGAAACAGTTTATTCTGTGTTGGAAATGAAATCATGTATGGTGTATATTTTGACAATGTTATAAAATCTGAGTTTTTTTTGACATCATATCATCACCTATTTCCGACATCACAATAGCAAAAGACATACAATGTGTTTATCATGAGTGAATCTACGGACTAACAGGGCAATCTTGTGATGATATCTGATGATATACTGGTCAATAATGTGCCTAAACAGTGTCTGGTGATGAACTGGTCAATAACGTAACTTAGCACTGTCTGGTGATGAACTGGTCAATAATTTAACTTAGCACTGTCTGGTGATGAACTGGTCAATAATGTAACTTAGCACTGTCTGGTGATGAACTGGTCAATAACGTAACTTAGAACTGTCTGGTGATGAACTGGTCAATAATGTAACTTAGAACTGACTGGTGATGAACTGGTCAATAATGTAACTTAGAACTGTCTGGTGATGAACTGGTCAATAATGTAACTTAGAACTGTCTGGTGATGAGCTGGTCAATAATGTAACTTAAACACTTAACTTGTCAATAATGTGCCTAAACTGTGTCTGGTGATGAACTGGTCAATAACGTAACTTAGAACTGTCTGGTGATGAACTGGTCAATAATGTAACTTAGAACTGTCTGGTGATGAACTTGTCAAAAATGTGCCTAAACTGTGTTTGATGATTCCTCAGCTAGAGCAAAACTTTTGATGGTAGCCTTTATTTACATTTGTCATTTCAACATTATTTCACCAATATATTGATCACTCGAAAGAGACAATATACAACAATTAAACAGAAGAAAACAACAAATAATTCATCAACACCAGACTAGTTAGCTTGAGGGACGGTGAGATGTGCAATTTGTTACAGACGCACATTAATTTTGTTCCATTTTTGATAAATGTATCTTTTTCACTATTCATAAGTTAAAACACACCAAGAACTAAGAGTTACTTCCCTTTACATGCATGTATCTAGTATAATTTTACTAAAATTTGTTGTCGTTTTATATTTTAAACTTCTGGTAAATATGTGTACTTGTTTATCTCTTGAAATCATTAATCAATGAGTGTTGCAGGAAACTATGTCCACAGTTTGTTGAATGTTTTATTTTAACTTTGCAGTGTGTAGGAAAATCTAACTTCTATAACACAAAATTCAGTGATGTCAAAACATCTATTTCCTCTGCAGTGTCTTGCTACCTGTGTGCGTGGTTGGAATACTAAGCGTCTTTTTAATTATCTGGACAATGAAGCTAACTTAGAATATTGACGGTATTTAACACAAATTTCTTTAAGATTTCAACAAAAAAAAAAACTGGAACAAATTTAGGTAATATCAGAATCAAAACCCTGTTCAGACCTGATAAATGGTCTGTTAAAATGTATGTCAGTGATTACTGGATGGCCAATATGCATCACACTTGGCAGTGGCTACCAGATCCTGGTCAGATATGAAAGAGTACAAGATCTCTTGCCTGACCACATGGGATTTCCCCAAGTACTCCAGCATCTATCTCAATGACCAAAGCAACCAGAGCAACTTGTATAAGTTAATAAGACTAGCACTCATCAAAAAAAGTGAGTAATGCTGTTAAATTCTGAAAAGAAATATGGAGTATAAAGATTTTTAAAAACTTTAAGCACTGGAATTAAATACCAGTCAATATTCAACCTATCACTACATGTGATCATCTACATGTTTCTGTAGGATATGAGGAGGACATGCCAATAATTATCACATTTCTGTCGCTTGGTGCTTGGTTCAGTCACTTGATTGTTCATCTTCACACAGCTTGCCGTCTGCCTTGAGTGCATCACGTAGTTGTGTAAAGAACTCCATCATGGAGCCTGGAATCGCAGCTTCCTTCAGTGAGGCTGGAACCATTCCACATATATCAGGCTGAATGAGACTTATCAACTTACACTTGTTGGGTTCGCTGCAAAGACAATAAAGTAAAGATTATACATTATCAGGAATTCTGATGTGACAGTGGTCAATGTCGACTTACAATCAAATGTAGATCACATTACATACTGTAAATGTAATTGTTTTAGGTATGATTGTATTTCCGCGCTTTTCATACGGTACTTTTAGAGATTGTATGGTTTTTGATCATACATTACATGTCACATTTGTTTGAATAAAAACAAAACTGTGTACTACATTAAAAAAAAATGAATGTAAACTGTAAAGAGTTAGGTAATGGGACTGTAGGTACATGTCAGAATTAGGTAGTGAGACTGTAGGTACATGTCAGAATTAGGTAGTGAGACTGTAGGTACATGTCAGAGTTAGGTAGTGAGACTGTAGGTACATGTCAGAGTTAGGTAGTGAGACTGTAGGTACATGTCAGAATTAGGTAGTGAGACTGTAGGTACATGTCAGAATTAGGTAGTGAGACTGTAGGTACATGTCAGAATTAGGTAGTGAGACTGTAGGTACATGTCAGAGTTAGGTAGTGAGACTGTAGGTACATGTCAGAATTAGGTAGTGAGACTGTAGGTACATGTCAGAATTAGGTAGTGAGACTGTAGGTACATGTCAGAATTAGGTAGTGAGACTGTAGGTACATGTCAGAGTTAGGTAGTGAGACTGTAGGTACATGTCAGAATTAGGTAGTGAGACTGTAGGTACATGTCAGAATTAGGTAGTGAGACTGTAGGTACATGTCAGAATTAGGTAGTGAGACTGTAGGTACATGTCAGAGTTAGGTAGTGAGACTGTAGGTACATGTCAGAATTAGGTAGTGAGACTGTAGGTACATGTCAGAATTAGGTAGTGAGACTGTAGGTACATGTCAGAGTTAGGTAGTGAGACTGTAGGTACATGTCAGAATTAGGTAGTGAGACTGTAGGTACATGTCAGAATTAGGTAGTGAGACTGTAGGTACATGTCAGAATTAGGTAGTGAGACTGTAGGTACATGTCAGAGTTAGGTAGTGTGATGACCATTATTATATACTGTAGGTACATGTCAGAGTTGGGTAGTAACCATTATTGTATACTGTAGGTACATGTCAGAGGTAGGTAGTGACCATTATTGTATACTGTAGGTACATGTCAGAGTTAGGTAGTAACCATTATTGTATACTGTAGGTACATGTCAGAGGTAGGTAGTGACCATTATTGTATACTGTAGGTACATGTCAGAGTTAGGTAGTGTGATGACCATTATTGTATACTGTAGGTACATGTCAGAGTTTGGTAGTGACCATTATTGTATACTGAAGGTACATGTCAGAGTTTGGTAGTGACCATTATTGTATACTGAAGGTACATGTCAGAGTTGGGTAGTGACCATTATTGTATACTGTAGGTACATGTCAGAGTTTGGTAGTGACCATTATTGTATACTGAAGGTACATGTCAGAGTTGGGTAGTGACCATTATTGTATACTGAAGGTACATGTCAGAGTTGGGTAGTGACCATTATTGTATACTGTAGGTACATGTCAGAGTTGGGTAGTGACCATTATTGTATACTGTAGGTACATGTCAGAGTTTGGGTAGTGACCATTATTGTATACTGTAGGTACATGTCAGAGTTTGGTAGTGAGATGACCATTATTGTATACTGTAGGTACATGTCAGAGTTTGGGTAGTGACCATTATTGTATACTGTAGGTACATGTCAGAGTTTGGTAGTGAGATGACCACTATTGTATACTGTAGGTACATGTCAGAGTTTGGTAGTGACCATTATTGTATACTGTAGGTACATGTCAGAGTTGGGTAGTGACCATTATTATATACTGTAGGTACATGTCAGAGTTAGGTAGTGAGATGACCATTATTGTATACTGTAGGTACATGTCAGAGTTGGGTAGTAACCATTATTGTATACTGTAGGTACATGTCAGAGTTAGGTAGTGAGATGACCATTATTATATACTGTAGGTACATGTCAGAGTTAGGTAGTGAGATGACCATTATTGTATACTGTAGGTACATGTCAGAGTTTGGTAGTGACCATTATTGTATACTGTAGGTACATGTCAGAGTTTGGTAGTGACCATTATTGTATACTGTAGGTACATGTCAGAGTTTGGTAGTGAGATGACCATTATTATATACTGTAGGTACATGTCAGAGTTGGGTAGTGACCATTATTGTATACTGTAGGTACATGTCAGAGTTTGGTAGTGACCATTATTGTATACTGTAGGTACATGTCAGAGTTGGGTAGTGAGATGACCATTATTGTATACTGTAGGTACATGTCAGAGTTTGGTAGTGACCATTATTGTATACTGTAGGTACATGTCAGAGTTTGGTAGTGAGATGACCATTATTATATACTGTAGGTACATGTCAGAGTTTGGTAGTGAGATGACCATTATTATATACTGTAGGTACATGTCAGAGTTGGGTAGTGTGATGACCATTGTTGTATACTGTAGGTACATGTCAGAGTTGGGTAGTGACCATTATTATATACTGTAGGTACATGTCAGAGTTTGGTAGTGAGATGACCATTATTGTATACTGTAGGTACATGTCAGAGTTTGGTAGTGAGATGACCATTATTGTATACTGTAGGTACATGTCAGAGTTTGGTAGTGAGATGACCATTATTGTATACTGTAGGTACAAGTCAGAGTTGGGTAGTGACCATTATTGTATACTGTAGGTACATGTCAGAGTTTGGTAGTGAGATGACCATTATTGTATACTGTAGGTACATGTCAGAGTTGGGTAGTGACCATTATTGTATACTGTAGGTACATGTCAGAGTTGGGTAGTGACCATTATTGTATACTGTAGGTACATGTCAGAGGTAGGTAGTGACCATTATTGTATACTGTAGGTACATGTCAGAGTTTGTTACAAGAGGCTGTAGTAGGAAAGGTTATCAAATGTTTGGAATATTTTAATAGTTTCAATTTCTTAACATTCCCATAATATTTCAGCAGTTGGTAGTCAATGGAACTCAGAAGGTTTAAAACTGGATTTTCAAGATTTGGACCAACCCGAAAACTATGTGCTTCCCTTAATTAACACTCACTAAGTTTCAGCTCAATGGCATCACTGGAACATGAGAAGAACTTTGAAAATGTGTTTTTCAAGATGGAGTCCATTGACACATGCTGGATTTTGTACTAACCAGAAAAATAACAATACTTGCTATGAACTATCTTTGGATAATTTCAGGCAAGTTTTTAAGCCACGGATAAATCACTATGGTTACAGGGTCATCCTGATCCTTCTGGTCAGATGACCTAATAAGGTATACATTATTATCTATATATTATCAAAATAGAGGACAAATCTGGAGGACAAATGTATGTGAATATAAAATCAAAGAATCTTGACAAATGGTTGAAATTTCTCTATAGCCTTCAAATTACAGAGTATAATTTAACCCAGATAAAATCTGCACCAACAGCTAACCTACTGCAAGTTAAATGTCACCAATTAAGGACAGCATTATTTTTTTTATCGTAAAAGTATAATGTAATATCTACTGTTAAATAAAGTCAGAATGAGTTGAAACTCTGGTAATCTAATAAGGCAATTTTGAGCTTTTTTCTCTTAATTCTGTAGGTTCAGTGATTTTCATCTCACATTTTATCATAATTGCCTATACTTACAAACTTAATGAATGTCTGATGAAAAGAAAACACTACAATGACCCAGAGTTTCATCTTGCCTATTACAAGCACTGGCTTTGTTCCCATTTGTAATGGGCATGTAACAATAATAGAATTGTCAACATTTTTAAAGGGACCTGTCTGTGCATGCCTGAAACACAGTTTTGGTATTATTGGTACACTACTAGAAATAAATTTTTGGTTAACTGACAACATCTACTGTAGTCCTATGTAGGAGAAACCATAAAAATCCAGATATGTCTATGTTAAGTATAAGTGCATCTAATACACTGTCACATTAATCAACATGGATCAACATGGATCAACACATTTCATATGAATCAAGACTTCAGGAATCGGGGAAGCCTTTAGGTCGTTAAATATGAAACGTTTTCATGTAGTAGGTATGCCGAGTATTGCCCCATGGTAGATCATTAATAATGGAATGCAATAGGTTTGCATAATGAGTAAGATAGCACATAGGTAAGTGGTATGTAATGTATCAATGTTAATGTCCTCAGATTACAAGAAATCTTAATATTTCCTTCACATTTTCCAGTAAATATTTCCCTTTCATTTTACAGTAAATATTTCCCTTTCAATTTACAGTAAATATGTCCCTCTCAATTTACTGTAAATATTTCCCTCTCAATTTACTGTAAATATTTCCCTCTCATTTTACAGTAAATATTTCTGTTGCAGAATAGAGTAAAGCTTTCCTTATCAGTTTACAGTAAATATTTCCTTTACAGTTTACAGTAGACATTCTCATTAAGTTTACAATAAATATTTCCCCATTAGTTAAATGTAAAATTTTCCCTCTAAATTTCCAGTAAATATTTCCCTCGAAGTTAAGAGTAAATAATTCCCTATCCATTTACAGTGAACAAACCCTATTAATTAACAGTATACCATCCCTCAAGTAACATCACAAAATCTAGCATAAAGATTGTTTTAATTTTAACAAATTTTTCTTCATTTTGAAGATTCATAGATTTTAAATATTATTATTTCACATTGTGCTGGCCAATGAAATGTTATATAGATGACACACCAAATAAAACTTGTTATCTGTAAACATTTTCGATATGACCCTGAATCAGACCTGATAAATATCTTTAGTAGCTGCCTTTTCAATGTGTGTGATCCTACCCAAAGTAATTAATCTTAATGGTTATCAACAAGACACTATAAGCAATATAGAGAATCTACTTTTAATTGAAACACATTTCAAAATCTTCTTTCAAACTGCATAATGACTCTATATAGATATAAAAATATATTCACCGACTGAAATTCAATCGAAGTTCAAATTTTGAAAGTACATGAAATGAAAAAATACAAAA